AACTAGTAGCCCAATCTTGGAACTGTTTGAAATTATGGATTCTACAGGCCACATTCTATAAGAAAAAATTTTTTCCGGGTCGATCTGAGACAATTTTTTTGAGAGCCTCAAAAAAAGGCAGTGTATTATAACCTTCCTTTTTTACCAAAAATCGACTGCACCAAAATTTCTCGGGAAAACACTTTTTCTTATTAATTTTGGTGCGTAGAATCCAAAACAATTCGTACTTTTTCGATCAGACTTCTCAATCAAAAGTTATAGACTAGAAACCAATTTCGAAAAAAAATTCAAAGGGCTGTAACTTTTGAACTAGTAGCCCAATCTTGGAACTGTTTGAAATTATGGATTCTACAGGCCACATTCTATAAGAAAATTTTTTTTCCGGGTCGATCTGAGACAATTTTTTTTTCGGGGCTCAAAGAAAGGCAGTGTATAACCTTCCTTTTTTACCAAAAATCGACTGCACCAAAATTTCTCGGGAAAACACTTTTTCTTATTAATTTTGGTGCGTAGAATCCAAACAATTCGTACTTTTTCGATCAGACTTCTCAATCAAAAGTTATAGACTAGAAACAAATTTCGAAAGAAAATTCAAAGGGCTGTAACTTTTGAACTAGTAGCCCAATCTTCGAACTGTTTGAAATTATGGATTCTACAGAGCACATTCTATAAGAAAATGTTTTTCCCGGTCGATCTGAGACAATTTTTTTTTCGGGGCTCAAAAAAAGGCAGTGTATAACCTTCCTTTTTTACCAAAAATCGACTACACCAAAATTTCTCGGGAAAACACTTTTCTTATTAATTTTGGTGCGTAGAATCCAAAACAATTCGTACTTTTTCGATCAGACTTCTCAATCAAAAGTTATAGACTAGAAACTAGGGAATGCAATACCGGGATTACGGGATCTCGAAATACCGGGATCCCGCAGCATTTTTGCGAGATTAATCCCGCACATAAATCGAGGGATTTGCGGGACTGAGGAATTTGTCGACCAAGGGGACGACTCTGTTTACTTTGTTAATGAAACTGATAACGGCGAATTATTTTTTAAATAATTGTTAAACTTTTTTCGTTAAAAATGTACTATGATTTTTGAGGCACTTTAGAAGACTTTTTGTGCTTTACAGGTAAGGTTTTTTTGAGTTCTAAGTTAGGCCGAAGGTACTTTTTTGTTAAATATTGTGATAATTAGCGATTTATTTTAATACAGAAGTTAACCGCACAGAATTGCTTATTTGCCAATTTATTTAAAGTTTTGCGAGATCCCGCAAATACCGGGATCCCGCGGGATTAACATCTAACAATCCCGCAAATACCGGGATTGAGATTTTGCTGCGGGATTGCATTCCCTAGTCCGCACTGTTAAAAGCGCCTTAAAAATAGGCAAACCACGTAAAATACCCTAAATAAATTCTCCCTGGGTATTTGACAATTCCCTTCAACCTTCCTAGATGTAAGAATATACAAAACAAACCCTGGACATACATTTTTGACCCATTTTATGGGCGGGTATTGAAATGGTACCCTGCGCTTAAGAAACCCGCTATAGCAAGTGCCGTCCGGGGTTGCGGGGGTGGCGGCATAGTTGAAATTGAACCTTAGGGTGTCTAAGAACATCCTCTGAAAGTTTCATAAAGTTATCACAAAATGCAAGGTTGAAACCTATTTTGGCTCTTAACCCCTGCACTAGGGTCATTGTAGACATTTAGCAATGTGCGGCAGGAAAAGTGACACGTGCGGCCGGTAAAGTGACAGGGGACAGGAAAAGTAGACTGACCTGCCTCTGTCATAGAAACTAACATTTTCCTCACATAAAGTAGGCATGAAAATGAAGGTTTCATGACGATTTTGGGTAAATTAAATAAATCGAGGGTGTGGGTCATTAAAAGTGACTTTTCCAAGAAAGCTTGGTCACGTCAATTTAAGTTTTAATGAGGAAGTACGTATTTCACTGATAAAATTCAGTCGTTAGTCTCATCAGTCCTGTGGCCACAACTTAATTTTAAATGACATATTAAGTTGACAAAATATAATCCGGTGTTACCACGGGATTATATTTGATTCGAAATCGAAATCGTGGAGAAATACTGAGAAGGAAAGGAAACGGAATTAAATGTCGAAAAATGGAAGATGATGAGATTTAAGAAGAAGGAAGCAAGGAAAAGGGAGATAGAACGGAAGGAGGAAATGATAGAGAAAGTAAGAGAATTTAAATTTATTTAGGATTGAGGGATCGTTTTCTTTTAATGTATATATGATTTACAATAGCTTACCCAATCGTTTTAAGGAGTTACCTGTGAAGTTTTTTAATTGTAAATATAAAGATTTTTTGTTTAATGAACAATGTACATTTGGAAGGTAAACTAGCTTGTCACTACTAGATGGAATAACATATTCAGATAGATATTACTTTTTACAACGCGTTTTCCAGAAGAACATTTACTTGCGACTTTGATTTTGTTTGTTGATATATATTGAGGTCGGATTGAAAAGCAGACGTTGATCTGAATCCCACCTTACGGTTTAAAACTGTAGTAGTTCACATTAAGCATTTAATTTATTTTATTTGTTTTTCTCTTTACACTAATTTTTTCTTCTTTCTTTAATAATTTTTTTTTAAATAAAATTTTTACAATTCTCTTTAATTGCTTTTTTAATCGTAACTGTCTCATTTGTTATATGGCTACTGCAGTTGTTAAATAAAGGCCTATTATTATTATTATTATGGTCAGTGTTCTTTGCGTTTGGGTTGAATACGAGTGGGTTGTGATAACGTGGTGTGCTTCTGTGAAGAAGGAGTTTTGTGTTTTTTAATTGTATTTATGGTGTTTCTTTGTTCCTGAAGTCGTATGGTGTGTTTCTGTGAAGAAGGAGTTATGTGTTTTTTAACTTAATAATTATTATTATTATTATTATTATTATTATACCAAATACAATGAAATAATGGGGCAAATGCACAAATAAGGAGATTAAGGAAAAAGGGAGAAGTGGCGATGAGACAGGTGTGATGGGTAATAGGAGAGGAAATCCAAAATGAAGTTCAGGATAACGAAACACCTTTTTTGAGGGGTGTTGATGTATGAACGGAGATATGGGGATGAAAAGAAGGGGATGAACATTACAAATCGGAAGGAAAGAAAAATAAAGGAAATGCAGACTGTGTGGAAAGAAAGATATAGGAATGTAAAGAAATAGAACGGACAAGGGGTGGCAGAAAGAAATTCGGGACGGACAGAAAATTGATGAAAAACGGAATAAATAAGCGAAGTGATGCAGAAGATTTGATTTACATCTATTTAATTGAATTTATTATAAAAGATAAATAAAGGATTTCTTTCGATTGACGTAAGTGCAATACGCGAATTTTCTCAATTGTCTACTCATCACTTGCAACAAAAGCAAAACACTTTTGACGATTTGCCAATGCGAAATTGAACACATTTGCATGACGTGCAGCTTATCCCTCAATTTTATTTAGTTATTCTGTAATAATAACCACAATGCGAAGCATCGCACTTACAGCTGTAATTTTCGTAATTGCAACAAGCGCAAATGAGGAAAGCGTTACCTTACGTAAGCACCTACTAACCCACAATTTTCGCTAATCGTTTTCTTTTAGCATCTTTCCTGCGAGTTTGTCACCAAAGTGATCCAAAATTGAATGAATGCATTAAGGAGGCGGTTCAGAAAATCAAACCATTACTTGCTGATGGCTTACCGGAATTCGACATACCGAGCCTGGAACCCTTGCACATATCCGAAATTCTGATTGATCATGGTGCTGGAGCTCTTGCGCTAAAATCCACGTATACTGATATTAAAGTGTACGGACCCTCGCAATTTGTGCTTAAAAGCGTGAAGTATAGTAAAACTGCGTTAATCGCCCAATTAAAATTACGATGTTTGCAGAATTGATCTGAAGAAGGATCGTGTACGATTAAAATTGTGGTTACCTCACCTACGAGTCGTGAGCCAATATTCAATGAACGGACGTATGCTAATGATGCCAATTTCCGGAAAAGGAGAAAGCTGTGGAAATTACAGTAATAAGAAAAATATTAGAATTTTCAATAATTGCTCCGTCTTTTAGGTAACATTGATGTCACGGTAACCTTGCAGGGGCAACGAATCACTAAACACGGAGACGTGTACTTCAATATCAAAGATTTTTATGTTGATTTCGTTCTTGGCCACGCGACAATTAAGTTAGAGAATTTATTTAACGGCGACAAGCATCTTGGTAAGTGCGCTTCCTATTGAATTAGCTAATCTCTAACCCCCAGGTGATACAATGAACTCATTCCTAAATGATAACTGGCAAAATGTGGCCAAAGAGATTAAGCCAGTTTTAGAAGATAACGTTGCTAAGATATTCAAGAAGATGGCTAACAGGATATTTAGTAAATACCCCTTGAATGTGATCCTACCAGATTAAGTGGGGCGTTGTAAATAAATCCCCAAACCTTTAAAATAGTACTGCATGTTGTTATAACACTAGATATACGTATTAGTAACTCAACTAAAATAATATATGGTCATATCAAGGTTTTCTGAATGACCAGTGGTCCACCTTCTATCTTCTATTACACATTTCAATAAAATTTAACCACTTAATAATTGTCCTTAGCTTAAAAATTACTGTCAAAGAAAATGATGTCGTATTCATGTTCACCAATGTAATCAATCGAGATACTTAAATGCCAACTCGTGGAAAGCTCAAAAGGTCGGAATTGGATGCAATTGGATTAAAACCATAAGTGGGATATGTTGATATAATGAACTATTCATAGTTGAATAACACCCCAAAAAGAAACATTGAAAATTCACCAAAAATTTTTGTCATCATGGGATTTGAAGTACAAAGACGTATTTTGAGTATTTCCAAATGCAAATATTTACTCTTTGACGGAACAAATCTACGAAACAGTAATCGCACTATGATCGCTGTCCACTTTTACAACAGCAGAATAAACTGTTTACGATTTTGAACCAAAACCACGACATTTTGTCATCATGTCAATAATAATAATGATTTGTTGGCGTAGTAAGAGCTAATGCTTTTAAAGTAAGTACCTCTTCTTTATTTTCTTTGTTTTTTTGTTTAGTTGAATACTTTTTTTCTCCTCTAGTAATACATGCAGTAATGGGGTTAAGTGGAAGAGCGGACTGTGGCATTGCTGCAGTGCCGAACTTCGCCCTTAATGTACTGAAATAAATCTTTGTTTTTTTTTAAATAATAAAGGCAATATTATTATTATTATTTATTTATTTTGCAACTATTTATATACAACAATTTATATTTAGAATTAAATTCAAAATTACAATTGGTTGAATTCTAAACTCAATTCATCAGATATGTGAACATTCGAAGCTCCCGAAGACGATGAAAGTTTCATTAAATTTCATTGTTTTGCAAACTGGGTATTTGCCTGCGGGTGCTCTCCACCAACTGTAGATCTTCTTTTTATTCTATAAAGAAGCATCTACGACCTACGCATCTTCCAGCTGCATTTCATGATTTCCAGGCAATTTATAAAAAAAACTGAAAAGTCACCAGGTTAGTACACCTTGCTCGGGGATGGCGCCCAGATGACGCCGACCCCACATCATGTAGCCCCGTCTCTAAAGTGCACTGCAAGCGTTCTTGTACGGGGCCGCATTTGCTGCCAGCCAACCAGCCAGCCGCCCAAAGTGAGATTACTGCCTTTTTACAAATAAACTTGCAAAAATGCGCTAAATATCTGTCACGAGCAGTATGAGATGGGTGCAGTGCTGCATATTTGCGAACCATACGCCATACCCAACTAGTTTAGGTCTTTGAAATTTCCTTTTGTTAATGTCAACTCTCGAGGTACTTCTGTTTTAGTGATCAGTAACGTAATTTTCATAAATTCTACTAAATCTTCTACATCACTTACCTTCAAATTGAGTAATTCTTGCCTCCGCGACAAGCTCCAGTAATCCCTCACTCACCTGAAAACAAAAAATGATAGCAACCAAACGTATGACAACAAAACTCTTACTTTTTGCATTATCTAATCCTCGTCATTTACTGTTGTAAGAAAAATAACTTGAGATAGTGTTAGAAAAGCTAGATAAAATTAAAACAGAGTAGGGATGCATAAGAATTAATAAGAACAAAACAAACGCTATGAAACTGGTAGTGTAGGAGGTTATAACTAGGGATGGGCGATAGCTGTTTTCACCTATCGATAAGTATCGGGTACTTACCTATCGATATATTTTACTTATCGATATGCCGATAATTATCGAAATATCGATGGTTATCGATATATCGATACCTATCGATATATCGATAACGATCGATATATCGATCGATATATCGATAACTATCGATATATCGATAACTATCGAAATATCGATAAATCGATAACTATCGATAGTTATCGATATATCGATAGTTATCGGCATATCGATAAGTAAAATATATCGATAGTTCTAGATATATCGATAGTTATCGATATATGAATACTATCGATATATCGATACCTATCGATATATCGATAACGATCGATATATCGATAACTATCGATATATCGATAACTATCGAAATATCGATAAATCGATAACTATCGATAGTTATCGATATATCGATAGTTATCGGCATATCGATAAGTAAAATATATCGATATATCGATAGTTATCGATATATATCGATATGTCGATAGTTATCGATATATCGATATGTCGAAGTTATCGCTAGGGATGGGCGATAACTGTTTTCATCTATCAATATAAGTATCGGGTAGGTAATTGCAGAAGTGCATCAAAATTACCGATAATTTTTTTGAAAGCATGTCTAAAAACTGCATGAGTTTACTTTTATATTTTGGTGAAAGAGCCCGACAAGACAAGAGGGCTCTGTTAACAAAATATGAAAATAACCGAATGCAGTTCTTGCAACTTTAATGGAGTTACCAATTTACCATATTAACTGTGCAATTATCGCAGGGCTCTTTAGCTTTCTACAATGCAATTACCGCTGTAATTAAGCGGTAATTGCACGCCTCATTTGAGAGAAATATTCGACGTATCGATAGTTATCGACAGGGATAGTTATCTTATCGAGTTTTATTAATAAAATCCATTTTCCGGTTTATTCTCCTGTAAAGTGACTATTAATAGTTACTCGACGTTTCTTTGCCACCTTTATCAAGAGTTTTTTGTTAGATTTCGTAAATGTCAATCAATTGAAACTGTATATCTAAATTTGAAGTGTTCTTAGCTTTTTCTGTTTTTTTGTGACTGGTCCTCTGTAACCATCAATCAGATACCGATACATAGGCCATGGTTACACCCTTTGATTGTCTTCTTTATTTTATCTAAAGAGTAGCCATTTTGATGCAACATTATGTTCAAGTTTTTGAAGTGCTTCTTTTTTTGAGCAATCGTCAGTAAGACGATTTAAGAACTAATTATTCACGAATACTATTGTTTACAAATGAGTAACAAATAAAATATTGTACATTATACGCCAGGTAATAGTTTTTACTGGCTCTAGGAGATGACAGGCTCGCCTAACTGCTCGCCAGTCAACTTCTCCTATCGCCAGTAAAAACTCACTTACCTGGCTAATAATGTAAAATACTATTTCTATGGAGTGTTCTAATGTACGGTAGTGAAACGTGGACTACACATTAAGAGATCCGGAAAGGTTAGAAGCTTTTAAAATGTGGAGAAATATGAAGAAGAATGATGAACCTGAAAAGGGTGGGTATGATAAGTAATATAGAAGTATGCATAGCAGAAAACCAATAATGATGAAGAATACATTATTCAAAAACGTTCTTTGTATACATTATGGTTAACAATATGATTGTAAAACTTTTAAAAGAGCGTTTTAAGCGATGGTTCACATAGAACTTATATTGAATTGAATTTTAGAAAATTCGACAATATAATTCTTTTTAAAATAAGGTGCTTAACCTGCCTTTTAATTAAGATAATGACAGAACTTACCCTTTTCACGTGGAATATAAATGTTAAAAGTTGCTGAAGTGTCTTCCTTGTTGAATTAATTCGTATATCAATGTATTAAAAAATCAAACAAAGCGTACAACTGTTATTTGGGTGAAGAGAACTATAAGCTCATTTCTTCGATTCGATTTCTTCGATTTTACCTAGACAAAAACTAAGAACAGATGAAGATAGTTTCGCAATTATGGTGCATAATTCTATGTGTGGCGAAAGTCTCATCAAGTTACTTGGTGGTCTAAATAGTACGTCGGATACATGGCTAGAATGGAGAAAATACGGCACTTTTTGATTGGAATGTGCCACTTTCTGTAATAATAGTTAATACCAAAAGGCAACTTTTAAGATAGGGAGCCACTCGAAAATCCGTGCAGGAGACCAAAATGGTGGGCGTCAAAATGGCGCCATTAGCCGCAATATATTTTTTTGTGTCTCTGCTCCTAATAGTCCGATTTTAATTTTCTTTTTTTTTTATTGAAAGCCCTTACGACGAGGAAACTGTTTTGCTATATAAATAACATTTATCTCTAAAACTTAAGGATTTAGCACAATTTTAAAAAAAAGTGTTTTTTTTACGAATTTGAATCACAAGTACGCTCTTAATTGTGCAATATCCCGGTCTTTTCGACAAAAAAGGCCATCGTTTAGAAATTCAATCGATACAACCCCAAAACTCCTTGTATCTACCCTGCAAGTTCGGAAAATTTCAATCAGCCGTGTTTTTTTTTTGAAAAAATGCGCCATATTTTTTCATCAGGCATGAGATCAAGCATTATGAAAATTGAAAGGAAAAGCCTCGTAAATTTTTTCTCTGAAAAACAGAAAATACACTGCTTTTAAAGTAATTAAAGAAACACTCAGTATATCAACTTTAAACTCTTACTCTCGCTCTTACTCAGATCATGGGTTTTTTCGAGGGTTTTCTCTCGGGTTTTCTTTAAGAATATTAACGGAATATTATGATTTCCAAGTTTTAGATACCTATTTATATAAGTTGAATCATTTTTATTATACAGGGAATCCAGCTTCTGTAAACGGACGATAGAGCCTTAATGGTTGAGATTAATGGGAACGGTTTGTTGGTACGAGAAGAAGAGTTGATATGTTTTATAGGTATCCCCGGGTATCCCTTAACAAAAGAATTATTTTTGTAGGTCTTATCGGTTTTTTTCGTAATGCTAACCGCGAGGCTAACCGTTTTCCGGATATGCTTTTTATACAGGGTGAAAATTTTATTTTCAACACATTTTTTAAAGAAGCTTTTTATGACATCCATAATTATAAAAAGTTTGCTACCAATCCACGTACATTCAATTTGGAGTCAGCGTCAGTAGCATACTTCTGCACAGTCAAAGGGGGCATACTGTTTTTAAATAGGAAGCACTATTTTCTTGACGTAGTGAATTATTTGTCCATACAAACTGATACAATGAAAACTCGTATTTCAAATAATTGAATTTTAATATTTCTTTAGCTAATCGACTTCGAATCGTATAGACCGTTTCATCATCAGACCTTAAGAGTCCGAATATTGTGCTGAATAATACAAATCCAAACATATTAACATTTGACGTGGACAAATTACATACATAAAAATCGGGTTGAGCTTACTTGTGATTCAAATTCGTAAAAAAAACACTTTTTTTAAATTGTGCTAAATCCTTAAGTTTTTGAGATAAATGTTATATAGCAAAATAGTTTCCTCGTCACAAGAGCTTTCAATAAAAAAAAAGAAAATTAAAATCGGACTATTAGGAGCAGAGATACAAAACAATATATTGCGGCTAATGGCGACATTTTGACGGCCACCATTTTGGTTTCCTGCACGGATTTTCCAATCAAAAAGTGCACTTCTTTGGCGTACCCAACGTACTAAAAGAAAGTATTATAGCGTATCGATGCGATGGACAGAAGGAAAGACGTTACAACGTAAAAGGTCCCACTTTCATAGGTAGGCTAAAGTTAAAAAATAAGTTGCTTCCTAGCGCTCTCTAGCATAGTTTCTCAACCCCTATTCCTTATGGGCAAATGCCACATAATCAAATTTCTAAGGAAAAGAACGCCTTTTTGTTTGCATCCGCTCCTCTCTAACACCGTATTTAGGGGATCTACAAGGTCGTTAAATTAAGCGACTGAGTTTTATGTCATTAGAAGAATGCCTGACAACACTCATTTGAAGTATAATTTAC